AGCCTTTGTCCTCCTTCTGCATTTGGTCCACATCTTTAAACGTTGTGTTGAGAACTACTCCTCTTTTCAGAAAGTGGCCGCTCAAAGACAATATTTTCCCCAAGAGTATGCATTCTTCCTACCTCAGCTGTGAAAGCTGAAGATGAAGGTGCGACAGAATTCAGTTTTAGAGAGGCTTTATTTGCATGGTGCTACTGCTGAATGTGTGTGGATTAGTGTGGATTACATTTCAAGTTTATTTTCTCCTAAAATTCTTGTACAACCTAGTTTTAATAAAATGATGTTTGCCTTTTGTTGTGGTGGCCATACATTCCAGAAATTTAGTATTCTTTTTACATATCATTTTAAAAACTGCTATTAATTGTTTTAGGTGCAATACTATGAAATATGAAGGTGAATTCTTGAAGGTGGTTATTTGGAACTGTGTTTCTAATTAGCTTCTATTTTCATGCTTTTAATCATATAATACACAAAGATTCTCTATTATGAAATCTTTTATGTACGTGAAAGTTGAATAAAAATTTTAATGGTATTAGAATCATAGATTAATGGAATAAAAATCTCAGTATAATTATTTTATTTTTAATTTAATTTTTAAAAATTTTAATGTTTACTTGTACATATTTGTGGGGTACAGCATATTGTTTCAATATATGCATATATCACAGTGTAATTATAATAGCAGCTACCTGTTTCTCTGTTATGTCCATGTTATATTTCTATGTTATATCTTCAACACAAAATTTTGTTATTTGTATTTCTTTTTTATTTCTCATTTTTTCATGCAAGTTAGATGTATATTGGGATATTTTTCCAAAGGTTTTAATCCAGGTATATGAACATGCTCAGGAAAACCTAGGCTGCCCATCCATCTACGTTTGAATTTCTTTTTTTCTTCTCAATTATAAGTTTACTTATATAAGTTAAATTCTGTAGGATGCATTTTAAAGTATTCACATTTTTTAATTAAGAAAAATTTTAAAACAGTGTACCATAATTTGTCTATAGCTTTATTGAGATCTAAATCATATACAATAACCTGCACATGTTTAAAGTATACAATTTGTTGAATTTTGACATATGTATAGAATCATGAAACTATCATCACAATTCAGACCACTCCTCTTCTCCAACCACCAATCTGCATTTTATGGAATTTTATGTAAACTGAATCAGAGAAGACGTATCTTTTGGGGGAGGGGGGCAGTCTGGATTCTTTAAAACAACATAATCATTTTGAGATTTATCCATAATATTTCTGTATGCACTATTTGTTGTTTTTCATTGCTGAGTACAATTCATTGTAAGGATATGTAGTGGATTGAATTATGTCCCTCTCAAAACTCAAAAGCTTGAATTGTGCCTCCCAAGTTTTACATATTAGAAACTTGGCCCCCACTGACTATTAAGAGGGTGGGAAATGCTATTATGGTAATTGAAAGGGGGAGCCTTGAAGAGGTGATTGGATTGTAGGACCATGCCATAGTAAATGGATTAATGATGGTGGTCAGGGGCATGGTTCTAAGGGCTTTAAAAGAAGAGGAGAGTCTGTCTTTCTCTCTCTCTTGCTCTCTCTGCTTCCATCATCTTGCAATGTGAGATCCCAGGGTCACTGTCACCACCACCAGGTGGACTTTGGACTTCCCAGCTTCAGAAACTGTAAGCAATAAATTTTGTTTTCTTTATAAATTATCCAGTTCCAAGTATTTTGTTATAAGCAACAGAAATGGACTAATACAGGATAAACCACAATTTGTTTATCTTTTACCTTGGAAGGAGAGTTGGGGCTGGGTTTTCCTATTTGGTCATTGCCCTTAAAACATAAACCCAGAACAGAACACTTCTGTAGCATTGTTCCATACTTGCTTTTTGAAACTCAATGAAGACTTGGTTAGGGAAAACATCCAACTGGGATTGTGCCTAAAATTTTTGAAACATCTAATCCATTAATAATCATTTTTGTTTACCCACTAGAACAATCACTGACACATGGTATTTTAGTTTTCACAATTTTCCCCAACATATTATAGTGAGAATTTTCAAACATACAGCAATATAAATTTATTAATATTTTACTAAACTTGATTTATTGCATATCTATCCATCCATCAATCCATCAATCCCTCTATCCATCCATTAACCCGTCCTATTATTTGGTACATTTAAAGTAAACAGCAAATATCTATATACTTCCTCCTAAATACTTTAGCATATCTGTGTCATTTATTTAATGCTGAATATTTGTTTAAAGATATTTATTTTCACATAAAATTTACATGCAAAAATTTGCATTTATCTGTATAATCCAAACCTGTATTAAGATATAGAATGTTACCATCACCCCAGGAATTTCTCTGACCCTCTTCCCTGTCAATCCCTCTCCTCATCATAGATTAATTTATTTGCTCTAGAATTTTATATAAACAGACACATGCTGTATATACTCTTTTGTGCCTGGCTTTTTCTGCCCACACAGTGTCCCTGAGATTCATTTATGTTGTTGCATGGATCAATAATTTATTCCTTTCCCTGAGTCACACTCTGTTGAATGACTATATCTGTTTGTTTAATGCACTGTTTTCAAGGAAACATTAAAATTAAGGTATAGGGTTTTGAAGAATACACAGTTAAATGCAGAGAAATCTATCTAGATCAGTAATCAGGAGCAGTCTGAACTTAGTGCAAGTCTTCATCTTCATTCACATAAATGTAATAGAGTTCAGATTGTAGGATTTGGGGATGAATCCCAGCCCCACACAGAACGGGAATACTCGCCTCAAAGAGACCACAAGACCATGAGCAATGCAAACGGCAAGAGGTTTATTATTTCCAACGTGTTGGGTTCTCACCGCCAAGCTGGCGTGAGACCCCGTTAGGTTTTTTAGCTGTCTTTTTATACATTTTTTTAGGGGCAACTTTTCTGGCAGCCAGGAGACAAAGCCATAAGCAGTGTTTATTGGCTAACTTAAGTGACGCAGGTTAGAAGTTTTCAAGATCTGGGATCTTGTAAGTATACAAAGTTTTATTCAAGCCTTAAATGTTGATTGTTCCTGATAAAGTCATATCTCTGTTGGTTTTTATTTATTTTTTGTCTTATGCTGATCTTTGAGTGATAAAAATCAACTTATCTAAAAGAAAAGTGCGATTCGAAGGATTCCAGCACAGTGTCAGACACAGGTGTGGATAGATTCCATGGTGAACAGGAAATTGAGTTCTGACTAAAGACGCCCACATTCCCAATGTCGATCGACACTGCCAGCTCTACAGAAACATGAGGGTGCCGACTCCCAATCTTACCCGAAGCACTGGAATCCCCTGGAGATAGCTGAGGAGTGTGATACCTCTTGAAGGCTGGTTCAGGATTTCTAAGAATGACTCTTTGTGACTGACGTATGGTAAATTTCTCTGAGGCTTCTCATTATTTCAAATGTTATTGTAGTATTTGACATTCTGCCTGACCATTTTTATCCTTGATCTGATTCTATGAATATCCACGGAAGGCTATTATTATTGTTGCCTCCTTGGGAACTGTTTTATTTACCGTTTTCATCTGGAGAACTGTCTTTGCTGTGAGTATATGAAAGTACCTTATAGGCATAATTTGGATCATAAATAAGCAAGATCTTGTGTAGTCACTGGTCCTCTCTTTGTTTGCCATCAAAGTACTAACATGAATATAAATTAATATTTGAAATCAGAGCAAAGGTGTAATCTTTTTTAAAGGTCTTAGTGAACAAGACAACTGTGTACTTGCAATGAGAAAACTTCCATTTGTAAATCCTTTCTATCAAAAAAGAAATAGTAAATATTTGGACTGAACTGCACTACCTTCTTCTCTGATTTTCCAGCTTGCAGATGGCCTATCATTAGACTTCTCAGCCTTCATAATTGTGTGAGCCAATTCCACTAATAAATCCCCTCTTATCCAGCTACCTACCTACCTGTCTATCTATCCATCCTATTGGTTCTGTCTCTCTGGAGAACCCTGATTAATACAACCAGCTATTGACTGCATTGACCCAGACTCTTAATTGAAGAAAAAGCAATTTTATTTTTTGGTATCTTTGTTGAAGCAACCAAAGCTATATCTAACCAATACACCATGGTAAGAAATTAATTCATCTTAAAGGCAGCTGGAAGTTATTAGCAGGTTTTGAACTAATTTGTTGGGATGATTTAGTTCTAATGTTAAGATATATTTATGATATGTTAGCATCATCAAACTGAAACCACCAACCTTGGGTTTCTGGAACTTAAATAGGCCAACTCTCTCCTCCTCTGCTAAACATCAGAAGATCTTGATCTCTACATGAATGTCACAAGCCTTCCACCTACACTACCTTGAGAGGCAATCCTTAGAGGGCCTTAGATGTACCAATTTACAAAAGAAAGCCTGTTCTTCTGGATGATGAGCAATCTCCAACTCCCTTTCTACAGTAGTGAAAGAATTTAAGTGGCGAAATCTTATTTAATTCTGTGTCTGTTATTTTCTTTTTCACCACACTTGGCACAGTAGTCCGTTACCTATTTTCCTAACATCATGTTAAAAAGCAAGACACACTTATTGCTTCACCTTAGCTTACAACTTAGAAATCCTACCTCCTGGAAGCAAAGGAGACTGTCTTTTAGGCTCAGGAGCCAATGACAGTGAGCCAGGACTTAGTTTACTCCGGGGCCAAGGAAATGCCTCCTTCCCCAGAGACGGCGACTAAATTGCAAAAACCAAGCAGTTCTCAGAGGAGACAGAAGGCAACAGCTCCACCATCTTCCCAACATAGAGGCTGAAGTCCTACCCCATAGAAGCTGCTCTTGGAAATGGTGAGTATTTGTGCTCTTGCACATTATCTCCAGTTGTCTGACTGTTGCTTGTATTTGTAAGAAAAATGTTTGACTTATGATTTTATTCTCAGCACTGCCACCTCAAAGTTCATCTTTCTGAGTTACCCACTTACTCCCTGTCTTTTCCCCAATTTACCTAGGCGGTTCCCTGTCTGACCCAAATGCTAGGCCGGTCTCAACTCTTCTCTTTGGTCTGGTGTTCCAGTCTGGGATGTGGAGCCTGCTACCAACCAAAGCGAAGATTTGCAGCTCAGACCATCAAATCTTCAGACCCCAGGCACATAGGCCAAGCGGTTCCCCAGCACTTTAATTTTGCAAAAGATGTGCTGGACCAATGGTCCCAACTGGAAAAGGTAAAACTTGTTGTTTTCTAACTTTGAGATACTGGCCAAAGCCAACTGGTAAAGTGTCTACTTTATAACCAAAGATCATGAAATTCAAATCCCATCTCTGCCTGGCACTAGAAAGTACAAATTCAGAGAGAGGTATTATAGCAAAATGACTAAGAACACAGGTTTGGCAGCCAGATAAACCTATGTGGAAGTGACAGACCTGTCTCTGTCACTAACTAACCACATAACTTTGAGCAAGTTCCTTGTCCTCTAGGGTCTTAGTTTTTTTATTGCTAAAATGAAGATATTAATGGTGCCTGTTTGATAGTGTCGTTGAGAAGATTAAATGAGATGAGCAATGAAAAATGCTTAGTACAGGACTTGACACCTTGGACACATCCAATCAATTGCTTGCTTTTATCATTACTAGTCATATTCTTGTCAGAATGATATGATTTCTTTCCAATCAGCCAACATTTTTGAGAATCTTCAAGCACATACAATACTTTAGAAATCAAACATGAAAGGAGTTTTTACCCTGTAGTGCAATTCTGTGGGGGGCGGGGGTGCAAAAGATAGCCACCAAGTGCTGAAGAGTAGGATGCAGGGGTGCCAAAGGAAATAAGTGTGTATCCAGATAATGGAATTTAGAAAGATTTGGTAAAGGGGGTGGTATTTACTGCATCCTGTGGAATGAGTAGGATTTCAGCAAAAGGATATGGGAAAAGGAGCACTGGGCAAGAACAAGCATGTGAGCAGAGACACGGCAGTGAGAAAGCAGGAGGAGGACTCAGGAACATTTTGGCTGGGAATAGGGCCACAGAGAGGAGTATTCGGTTAGGAGAAAAACAAGTCCAGAAGCAGTCTGAATGTGAAAGGCCCGGTGGAGTGGGGTCCCTTTCCCCACTCTCGGGCTGGGTGACCCCAGAGCAAGGCATTTTAACTTTGAACCTCATTTCCTCCATCTGTCGAATGGGGCTGGTGCTTCCAGCAAGAGTATCCACGGCACAGCAGTGGGGTGGGCTCGAATCCCCCCTCCTCCATCACCCCCAAAACTGAATAAAATGGTACTTCATTGTCTTTGTCCAAAAGATTTTTATTATCATTGGTGGCGCATCCAGGGAGAACTTCCATTTAGGAGACTTAACTTTTGCTCATTCGGGCCAGTGTGCAGAAATTCAGCAGAACAAGGATTGTGAAGGTTTCCTGGAAAGATTTGGGGCATGTGTCCTGAAGTATTTTGGGTTGGTTTCACCTTTGCTCAGGCTGTGCCCCTGACTGGAGCGCCTCCCACCCTGCATGGCCTTCTCCAAGCATCCTTTCCAGCCCAGCTTTTCCTGCTTTCTCTTTCCACAGGTTTTCTTAGACTGATAATACAACCAAGCACTTTAAGTGTGAGTCCTGTGTCCCAGTGAAATTCTACAGCTAGATTGGTGCCTTTTATCTCCTTGTGCCCCCACACCAGTTGTCACCAAGCTAACCTGCGTTCCTTTTGCTCAGCTCTTGGCTGGTCACATGGGTTACAGATGGAGGTACAGCTGGGCCCTGCCTAGAAGAAGTTCCCAGGCTGCAGTGGAGACAGGTGGACTGTGAGTGTGGGGAGGGGAACGTGGAGGGTTACAGCTGTGAGCAAAGGCCGAGGCTCCAACGGCCACACAGTGAACTGGCTCTGCAGACAGTATGGGTTGTCTGGAAGTCACTTAGGACATCAGCCATAGATGCTCAAAATGTTAGAGACAGGTGGACTGTGAGTGTGGGGAGGGGAACGTGGAGGGTTACAGCTGTGAGCAAAGGCTGAGGCTCCAACGGCCACACAGTGAACTGGCTCTGCAGACAGTATGGGTTGTCTGGAAGTCACTTAGGACATCAGCCATAGATGCCCAAAATGTTAGAGTCTGCAGGAACTTTATACATCATCTAGTCCAACCACTTGCCCTTTAAAAACATTTCATTATAGAATTGTTGGAAAATACTGGTAAGCATAAAGAAAAAATTTAAAATATGTAATATTACCCAATGATAACCACTGTTAACTTTCATATATATTTCCAGACTTTTTTCTTTCCTACCGATTTATATAGACAACACGTTTTTATAGAAATGGAGTCATTCTGCATATACACTAATCGATAACTTGAAAATACTCTTTTTTGTTACTTGCTTTTTTCTCCTGGAAACAATATGCTGTGGAAACATCTTTCCACACCAATGAATGTTCTACTTAATATCTTAATGTCTTAATGGTTATATAGTATTTAATGTAGGGTTGAACCAAAGCGTATTAAATCAATCCTTTATTATTACTCATCTGAGTTATACTCATATAATTTTTTTCTTTTTTTGCTATTGCAAGCAACGCTAAAATGAATTTCATTGTGCACATGTTTTTGTGGGGTTTTTTTCTTCATTTAAATTCCTAGAAGTAAAATTACTCCTTCAAAAGAACAGTGTGGGGCCGGCCCGGTGGCGCACTGCTACAGTGCGCCGCTTGGGAGTGCAGCGGCGCTCCCGCCGAGGGTTCGGATCCCACATACAGACCAGCTGCTCACTGGCTGAGCGAGGTACGGGCGCAACACCGAGGGTTGCGATCCCGTTGCCGGTCCCGGTCCGGTACGGGCGCGACACTGAGGGTTGCGATCCCGTTGCCGGTCACGAAAAAAGACAAAAAGGAAAAAAAAAAAAAGAACAGTGTGGGTATTTGAGGGTTGCGATCCCGTTGCCGGTCACGAAAAAAGACAAAAAGGAAAAAAAAAAAGAACAGTGTGGGTATTTGGTAAATAACGTTTCCCAATTGCTATTTTTCACACTCACCAGCATTGTGTGGGAGGGCCTGTTTCTCTATACCCAGAAAACAGTGATTTCATTTTTTTTTTCATTTTTTTACCAGTCTGTTCATCAATACGTTATGTTACCCTTAAAAAAATAAAAAAGAAAGGCCCCGAAGGCTGAGGTAAGGAGTTTGGACCTGGTTTGATGGCCTGTGGGGGACCACTGAAGGTAACTGAGGGACATGAGCAGAGTCATACTCGTAGAAACAGGATGGGAATTAGTCCCACAGCCCCAGGAATAAAATATCACTGATGGTCTAGCCTTGAAACCCACCAAAATATGGTTGACAAGCAACTTGACATTGATAGGGAGGGAGTATTGCTGTTTTGTTGTTATTGGTCATGTGAGAGGAAGCAGTTGGGGAATCCCCCCCAATTCTCACTTTGTAATGAGAGGTTCTAGTATGATCAGAACAGGGTAATAATTGTGTGGTGCTCCTGGGTGGAGGAAGGAAAGAGAAGAAATGAGAGAGAAGACAAGGAGGAAGGAGGTTGTAAAGGAAGAAAGGAATGAAGTTAGGAAGGTAGGAAAGAGGGAAGGAGGATGGGGTGAGAGAAGAGAGGAAGAGAGAGAAGGCAGGAAGGCAGGAGGAAGGAGGAGAGGAAGGAAGGAAGAAGGAAGGGAGGGAGAACGGTCCCCCTTCCTTCCACCCTCAAGGGGAGGAGGGAAACCTGTGTCGTCAGCATGCAGTCAGAATGGAGATGCTTTGAAAAGTCTAGAACCCTCCTCTGTGCCTCCTCTAAACAGCACTGGAAAATAAATTATTTCCCCCTCAAAAACTGCCCTACTGAAAAATAATTTGCATTGGGCAATAAGGTGTATTTGGGGGCAGGAATAGAATCAGAATGCAGCAGAAGGAGGGCACTCTTTGTCTACCAAAGGATTGGGCCCTGAGAAATCTTTACTATCTCCTGGCAGGGCCAGGGTCACCACTCCAAATGCTGAGTTCCCTCACGAGGTTCTTCCCTAGGCTCAGGCCTGACATTAAGCTGAAACCCACCAGTACTGCCAAGCCGGGAGTTTAAACATTAATTATTTCCATACCATTAAGGAATAGCCACTGCCCCAATGCCTCAGTTATCCTGGCCTCTCCTCAAGATCTAGCCACTTGAGGGTGGTATCTGACAAACAGGGGCCTTCAGTGGCCAGTGGCCATGCTGACTAATAGTCAATATCTGAACATCACCCTGCCTAGGATGGACTCAGGGGACCTCACCCTGCCCTTTGGGAGGTTAATGCCAAAGGAGAAGAGGAGAAATGGAGTTTTGAAAGGATGGCTCATCTCTCCCAGAAGGCAGCCAGCGTCCTCGCAGACACCTGTGCCCTTGGCCATGGGGACCGGCTGATGATCATCCTGCCACCATCACCCGAAACCTGCTGGATCTGCCTGGCCTGTATGCGACTAGGTGAGGCATGGGAGAGAGACTCTGGGAGGCTCATGTAAGATCCCAGCCTGAATCATTCACAGAATGGAGAGATGTTAAAGGGATGTCTGTCTGAAGCCAGAATTCCTCCTGCAGTGCAGGGATCTTTAAACAGGCCTGGGTTTGGATCCCAGCGCCACCACATATCACCTTTGTAGCATAATGCCTCTCTGAGCCTCAGTTTCCTTGTCTATGAAATAGGGACAGTAGTAGAATCAGTCTTACAGGGTTGTTGTAAAGACAAAATAATCCAGAGAGAGTGCTTAGCTACCTGGGAGGCCACTTACCATCTAAAGGAAACATAGACCACTGTCCAAACCTAGTCGACACAACAGAGAAGACTGAGCAAGCACACCATGCCCTCTGTGGACCTCAGTTTCCCTATCTGTAAAAAGAGAGTGTGGGAGCATCTCTAAAGGGACCTCTATGCAGTGTTAGAGGGTCCTTGAGAGGCACCCTGAATGAGCTTGGGGTCAAGTTTCAGAGAGTGCTAGGACAGAGCTATTCATTGTGGGCATCCCATCCATGTCTCAGGCTCACTCCTCCAGCACGAACACCACCAGCAGGAACGCCTCAGTCATGAGCCACTTCATGACGGTGAGAAGCAATGGATGTTGGAAAGGAGGGAGCTCACCCCTAATGCTACTCCTTGTGTCTGCTATGTACCCAACTTTCTATCTTTGGGATAGAGACATACATTTTTTTCATAATTAGAGGATCCTATGAAAAACAAAGTACCCCTAAGATGGGCCAATCTCATATCACTATGAGTTACCACAAATGGCCTAGCCTATTGCCTTTGCCTGCTGACAGGGATGCCAGTTGAGAAAACCCTAAAAAGTGATCCATGTGTCCTTGCCAATGCCAGTTTTGGGAGGCACACAGAAGAGACGAAGGCAGTGAGCCCTGCCCTCATGCCTACTCAGGTTCCCGACATTTTCCTGGCTCCCAATGGAGTGAATCATGCTGAGGGACAAATGATCCCTATCTGAGAAAGGACATGGGTCACTTCAGTTTGGGCCACCAGAAACTCAAGCTATCTGAGGCCAAGTTACATAAAAGTGATTTCCTTGGCTATAGAATCTATAGTTACCAGTCCAAAGGGCAGTGGGTATCACTTGCACTTGAGATAATTAAAATTCTTTATTGATGGTACGAGGATAAATAAATGAAAACAAAATCGAAAGCCCAGAAACAGACCCAAGTACATGTAAGAATTTGTTGTCATTTCCAACCAGTAATGAAAGTATGGGTTAATTCTTTTTAATGTGGAGTGCCATTTTAAGCACTTTTAAACATACAATTGCATGGAATTAATTACATCCATATTGCTGTGTAACCACTACCTCCATCCATTTCCAAAACTTTTTTGTCATCCTAAACATAAATTCTATACCCATTAAGCAATAATTTCTCATTATTCCTTTCCCCCAGTTTCTGGTAAACTCTAATCTACATATGTGTCTGAAATTTGTTTTCTTTTTATTTTTTCTTAATTGACCCATGAAAATTGTATACATTTATGGAGTATGATGTGATATTTGGGGACATTTATACAGTGTGTAATGATCATATCAGGGTTTTTAGCATATCCATCACCTCAAACATTTGTCCCCTCTTTGTGTTGTAAACATTCAGCATCTTCTTGACTAGCTACTTGAAGCACACAGTAGTTTGTTTTGACTGTGGTCTCCCTATATTGCTATAGACACTAGATCTTATTCTTCCTGTCTCTCTACAATTTTGTGTCCATTGACCATACTCTCTCCATCTCCCTATCCCCCTCCCCTTACTAGTCTCTAGTAACCACTTTTCTACTCTCCACTTCTATGAGATCAACTTTTTAGCTTCCACATATGAGTGAGAACATTTGTTTTTTCTTTCTGTGCCTGGCCTCTTTCATTTAACATCATTTTCTCCAAGCTCATCCATGTTGCTGCAAATGGGAGAATTTAACTCTCTTTTATGACTTAGTAGTATTACATTGTGTATATATACCACATTTTCTTTATCCAATCATCCGTTGATGGACATTTAGGTTGGTTCCAAATCTTGGCTACTGTGACTAGAGCTGCAATGAACATGGAAGTGCAGGTGTACTTTCAGTATGTTGATTTTCATTCCTTTGAATATATATTCAGTAGTGAAATTGTTGGATCAGATGGTAGTTCTACCTGTAGTTTTTTGAGAAACCTCCATACTATTTTCCATACTGGCTTTACTAATTTACATTCCCACCAACAATGTAAAATAGTTCCCCTTTCTCTACAACCTCACCAGCATTTGTTATTTACTGTCTTTTTTATAATAGTCAGCCTAACTAGGGTGAAATGATATCTCATTGTGGTACTGATTTGCACTTCTCTGATGATTAGTGATGTTGAGCATTTTTCATATACCCGTTGGCCCTTTATGTGTCTTATTTTGGGAAAGGTCTATTTCACACCTCTGACCATTTTTCACTCAGATCATTTGTGGGTTTTTGGTTGTTGTTGCTGTTGTTGTTTTGATTGAGTTGTTTGATTCTTTGTATATTCTGGATATTAAAACCTTGTCAGATGCATAGTTTGCAAATATTTTCTCCCACTCTACAGGTTGTCTCTTCACTCTGTCGAGTGTTTCCTTTGCCATACAGGTTTTTGGTTTGATGTAATCCCATTCGTTTATTTTTGCTTTTGTTGCCTGTGCTTTAGAAGTCTTATTCATAAAATCTTTGCCCAGTCCGATGTCCTAGAGTGTTTCCTCTTTTTTTTTCTTGTAGAAATTTTATAGTTTGGGCCTTACATTTAAGTCTTTAATCCATTTTGAGGTGATTGTGGTATATGTTCAGAGATGTTGCATTCTTCTGCATATGGATCTCCAGTTTTCCCAGCACCATTTATTGAAGAGACTGTCCTTTCCTCAACATATGTTCTTGGCTCTTTTGTTGAAAATTAGTTGACTGTAGGTACAAGGATTTATTTCTGAATTCTCTATTCTTTTCCATTGGTCTATGTGTCTATTTTTATTCCAGTACATGCTGTTTTGATTACTATAGCTTTGTAGTATAATTCGAAGTCAGGGAGTGTGGTGCCCCCACCTTGTTCCTTTTGCTCAGGATCACTTTGGCTATTTGGGATCTTTTGTTGTTCATATAAATTTTTGAAATTTTAAAAAATTTCTGTGAAGTATGACATTGGTAGTTTGATAGGGATTGCACTAAATCTGTAGATTGCTTTGGACCATATGGTCATTTTTACACTATTGATTATTTCAATCCATGAAAATGGATGTCTCTCCATTGTTTTGTGTCTTTAATTTCTTTAATCAGTGTTTTATAGTTTTCCTTGTAGAGATCTTTAACCTCCCTGGTTAAACTTATTCCTAGGTATTTTATGTTTTTTTGTTGCTACTGTAAATAGTATTGCTATCTTCATGTTTTTTTTTTCTGCTAGTTCATTGTTGGTTTCTAGAAGTGCTACTGATTTTTGTATATTGATTTTATATCCTGCATCTTTACTGAATTTGTTTTTCTTTCTTTTTTTTGGCAGCTGGCTGGTTTGGGAATCTGAACCTTTGACCTTGGTGTTACAAGGCTATACTCTAACTGACTGAGCTAACCAGCCAGTCCATTTACTGAAGTTGTTTATCAAGTCCAGGAGTGTTTTTGTAGGGTCTTTATGTTTCTCTCTGTATAAAATCATGTCATCTGCAAACAGGAACAATTTGACTTTCTCCTTTCAAATTTGGATGCCCTTTATTTCTCTTTCCTAATTGCTCTCACCAGGACTTCCAGTACTATGTTGAATAAAAGTGGTGAGAGTTGGCATCCTTGTCTTGTTCTAGTTTTTTCCGAAAGCTTTTCCCCATTCAGTATGATGTTAGCTGTGGATTTGTCATATATAGCCTTCATGGTATTATGATAGTTCCCTTCTGTACCTAATTTGTTGAGTTTTTTATTTTATTTTATCAAATCCTTCTTTGCATCTATCAAGATGATCTTTTTATTTCATTCTTTTGATTTGCTGTATTATGTTTATCGATTTGCATTTTTTATGGCTGTTATGCTTTTAATGGAGGTACAAAATGCATCAATGCAAAAGTATGTTTTACATATTCATTAGCATAGTGATTAATGTAAATTACATTTTGATAATGTAAAAAAACAGTGTGTTAGACCTCAAAAAAGAAACTACCAAGTTCTCTGCAACTTAACATATTAGAAAGGTTCCTTAAGTTGTTTTTACCCACGACCTTAACTATAGTAATAGTTCTAAATGGTATGGGGGGTGTTAAAAAATATGAAGCTCTTTTCAGCTATGCTTCAAAGAATTTTAGTGAAGCTGTATAGTAATGACATTGCAGGACTGTGAAATCTCTCCAAAAGTATTTCCAATAATATATAGGCAGTTAGGAGGCTTGACAGTTTAAAAGCCTGGAAAGCAGCTAAGATATTTCATCTTAGAGAATTTAAAAACATTATCGGGGCCGGCTTAACTATAGTAATAGTTCTAAATGGTATGGGGGTTGTTAAAAAATATGAAGCTCTTTTCAGCTATGCTTCAAAGAATTTTAGTGAAGCTGTATAGTAATGACATTGCAGGACTGTGAAATCTCTCCAAAAGTATTTCCAATAATATATAGGCAGTTAGGAGGCTTGACAGTTTAAAAGCCTGGAAAGCAGCTAAGATATTTCATCTTAGAGAATTTAAAAACATTATAAATCCCAATTCTCTCCTGCAGAGAAACTTTTTAAAGCATGGACATTACTTTAAGGATACTGAAAAAACATCAAGTTTCATCAAGCTTCGATAAACATCCCAAGGCACAAGTGTTGAAAACAACCTGTTCATTAAAATGTCTGCATTGTACTTTTTTTTTTTTGTCTTTTGTCTTTTTTCCGTGTCCGGCAACGGATCGCAACCCTCAGTGTTGCCCCCGTACCGGACCGGGGACCGGCAACGGGATTGCAAGCCTCGGTGTTGCTCCCGCGCCTCGCTCAG